AACCGCGACTAAAGCCCGCGAGCGCCCTGGGCCCAGGCATTTGGTCGCGGTTCATCTGCCGAACCGCGACTAAAGACTTCATTAGTCGCGGTTCCTACAGTTTCGCGACTAATGGGGCTGGACGGAAGCCTCTTTTTCTACTAGTGCTTGTAAGGAGGTCAAAACCCCAGCCTCTGCATTATTGTGAAGCACCCGATCATTCTTATCAGAACATACCACAATCCACAAATGAGCAATTAAAAGATATGAAATTAACACCTACGACTAAGTCAATTTTTTCACATCAAAAGCTTCCAAAAGGGGTAGACGTGAATTGTCACCCAGCACCACATGTTGTTGACGTACTCCACCAGAGTAGGAAGCATTTTTTTAATCGAAATGGAGGCAAAAGTTTTGCCTTATCTCACTAATAAAGAAGAAGAGAATTGCCCGGTTAATTATGAAAAACTAGGGCCTCGGCCCCCTCAGCCCCTCCCGCGTCGCTCTCGCGAGGCGACGGGGAGGGAATCCTAGCGTGCCGCCGCCGGGTCGTTCCCCTCTTCCTTCCCCATCCCTTTTCGCCGCCTGGTGGCTCAGTTGGGCAAAGCTTGGCCGGAGCCGGCAGCAGCGGGGCGGCTTCTTCCCCTCTCGTGCGGGGGGCGGCGCGGGAGAAAATGCTACAACCCACGAAGGGGCACCACCAGCCAACCTGGCTACCCACACATGCCACCGAGAGAGGAGCACCGTCGAGGCAGACTACAGGTGTGATCATCATCACTCCTCTGTGAGATAGCGACTTCGAGTTCACCGCAAACCCCCATCGGCGTGGCACACACCGCAACAACCTACACAAAGTCTGCATCGACCTATGTCAAACATTTGTCCACCAGGAGCAGCGACGAGACATCTCCCGCTTTGAAGACGGACAAATGCAGAAAAGATATGCAAGACTCACACCGACGAAGACCTCCTCCGAAGACCACCGAACAACCATCATCGTTGCCTCCTAGGCCGTTCGGAGGCAGCTCCGACTCCGCAAAGCCAGTACACCACAATGAGACCAGGAGAAAACCCCATAAAGAGCCGGCTACGGAAGGCCTACCGCGACTCTGCACCACGCACCACCAGCATCGTTGCCAGACAGGACACTACCATGAAGCTCCACATGGTCAATTGACCGCTGTCAATCACGATCTCATGTGAGTGCAGCCCCAGGAAAGCACCCAGGGAATCACCATCTCCAAGGCCACATCATCAGAAGGGGAAGCGACGTGGATCGACGCAGTCGTCCGACCTTGCACCACAGGGTCAAGGTCTTCACCTGAAGATGAGATCCGAGACTGGGGAGAGAGGAGAGCTCCATGATGACCCCAAGGGGGGAGGCGACATCCATGGATGTCGCGTCATCAGGATTTCGCCCGGAGCAACCCAGACTCCGCACCCCCACGCAATCAGACAACTACATCGTCGACCTAGAACCCCGCTGGTCCAAACACCTCCAACGCGCCGGCGACGCCACCGCCACATGAGGGCCACCTTCCTTGCCAGCCAACAGGCCAGATCGGGGCACAGACCAGATCTGGAGCCCAAGTACCAACACACCGACGTGGCGAAGCAGCGGCCTAGATTCCAGACCATGCCCCCAAACCACCAGGAAGCAGGGTGGGGGTTGGTGCCCCACTCCGAAGTGCCGAGCAAGGGGGACTTGTCGGCGCCGCCGAACCGGACGGAAGGCCGAAAAACCGCCAACCAAGGAGGCATTTGCGGGGCTGACAACAGGGAACGCGAGACGGGGCAGAGGACCAATGGGAAGCGTCGCGATGGCCTCCACGTTGGAGGTCGAGCCTCCCCCACCTAGAGCTTGCGCTGCCGAGATCATCCCGCGCGGACGAGACGAAAGCTTCGCCGCCATCCGCCGCGCGGGATTCGCCTGGCGATTTCCTCTGACATTGGCGC